TGCTCTGGGGGCTGAGGTCCAGGGAGGGCATGAGAGGGGCCCAGCCTTGCATGGGCAGTTGACTGCCAAGTTGCTACAGTCACAGTGTGGACCAGGGCCCCGTGGTGGCCTCTCTTTGTAAGCTTCCCAGCCACTCCCTAAAGGAGGTTGTCTGTGCTCAAGAAAGCCCAGAGGGGCGAGCAACTTCCAAAGACCACCCCGTTGGCAAGTGTCCAGCCTGGATCAGACATCTAGGCTGAGCTGCTCTGCCTTCCTAGCTCCGGGAGGACTGGAACCCCAGCCTGTGCCCTGCCCTCCCGAGGCTCATGCTGCCGGAGGGGACCAGCCCTGTCACACGGGGAGCAGCAGCCACTGCTCACACCCGCTCACCTAGCTGCCTCCCCCAGCCCCGGCAGGACACAGTCCTCGAGCACAGTCCACTGGGATACCAGACACAGTCTCAGAAGATTCCTCATTATCATTATTATTATTAATCTATAGATATTTTCTCGATATTAGAAAGATAATTAGATGACACATTGATGTTTCTCTCTCTGTCTCTCTCCATCCCTCCGAAGCTCTCTCTGAAAATCAATGGGAAAATATCATCTGGTGAAGATTAACAACAAACAAATAAATAAATAAAGTTTATTTTTTGTTTTGTTTTTGGGGGGAAGTTGTGAGTTTTTCTTTCTTTTTTAGTTTAAGCAGTAGGATGATTTAAATTTAAATAGTAAAGAAATAATGTTTGGGGTGGTTGGCAGAAATGGCGCAAATAGTTGAGTTGAGTCAGTGGGAAGAAAACGGATAGATTCTGGCACACACCGCCTTCGATGAATGAGGATTGCCTCCTGGCAAAGCCCTGGGAGCTGCCTGGCCGCCATGGGCAATGCACCAAGGCCTGGGCAGCAAGCGGCTGGTCCTGGCCGCAGGAAGTCCAAGACAGTGTTGCAACCAGGCGCTCTGAGCTGACCCTGAGAAGTCCACCATTTCCCCTGAAAGCATCACCAGAACCTGTCCAGCAAGCTGGGGTAAAACCAGAGCTAGGCAAGCTTCCCGCCTCCCTCTGCCTCCACCCGGGTTCACATTTGTGAGAGGCACTGGCCTAGCATAGTGGGAAGAGTGATGGACAGAGAGTTTTAGGGCCAGGCCTACTGCGTTGACTTGCTGGATCCTCACACACACACACACACACACACACACACACACACACCCTCGGGGTCAAAGGGGCAGGCTCTGTGGTCACACTGCCTGGGTTCAAGTGTCTTCTCTCCCCTGTTGGGTTTGTGTCCTTCCACAATCCCCCATGGCAGCTCAGTTTCCTCATCTGTTCACTGGAGCTAGGGCTCTACGAGTGTACTTCTACTCTGATCGTCCGTACTGTTTTAAAGCAGACGTTTTTGAGGACTGGGGCCTTGGCCTTGGACTCAGATAGCCGGTGTTTGCATCCAAATCGCAAACCCTTTCAGCCTCCATTTCCTTGTTCATAAAGTGAGGCTGATGGCTACCCTGCAGGATGGGTGCATTCAGTAAACCCGGCGGGTGTGTGAAGACACCTGGCCTGCTTCCAGGCACAGAAGGCATCTGACAGATGACACGTTTCTCACCTCCTCCCTCTAAACACACACATGAGAGCGTGTGCGCATGCAAACACACACACACACACACACACACACATATACACACACACACACACACACACATACACACACACATATATATACATACACACACACACAATTTATCTTGGCCGGAGTCTGACAAGCTCCAGTGGGTGAACAGTGACAGCACTGGCTTTATCGGCCCCCATCAGAGGCATTTGCATGTGGGTAGAGAATCTAAACCTGGAAAACATTTCCCGTTTTACTGGAGTGACGTGGTAGGGTTATTAGACTTCATTCATCTCCTCATTTCATTAACCGTAGACTTTCTGTGTGTTGTGGCCTTCTGACACTGTCATTTTTTTTTTCAAAAACAAATGATAAATATGTTTGGAAAAATACAAGCAATTCGGAGGTGAATAGAAATAAATGTAATAGACTCTTCAAGCTCCTTTCTTCCCTGGCATTTCCCTTCTGTGCGCCCCCTGTATGTAAGCAATGTTGGCTGCAGGTGTGGGTCTTCCCATATCTCTTAGCACAGTGGTCGGCAAACTCATTAGTCAACAGAGCCCAATATCAACTGTACAACGATTGAAATTCCTTTTGAGAGCCAAATTTTTTAAACTTAAACTTCTTCTAACGCCACTTCTTCAAAATAGACTCACCCAGCCCATGGTATTTTGTGGAAGAGCCACACTCAAGGGGCCAAAGAGCCGCATGTGGCTCAAGAGCCGCAGGTTGCGGACCACGGTCTTAGTCGTTTCATAACAACATACACTGAGTGGCCAGGTTATTATGCGTTCAGCGATCATCATAATCTGGCCACTCAGTGTATATGTCCTCTCATTGAGTAGAGGGAAAAGGAAGGTAGTCTGTTTTTTTGTGTGTTTTTTTTTAATCATAACTATACACATTTTTCTGTAGACATTCTTCATTGAATGCATCGTGGCCATCTCTCCAGATCAGTAGAAAGAGAAGAAAAATTTATTGTTGTTCATGCCTCTTAGTCTAATATTGTGAATGCGCCGTAGTTTCTCCCCCCTCTCCCTGGCTGATGCGTATGGATTTTGTACGGTTCTCCAGGTTCCCCCTCGACAAATGCAATTATCTTAGCAAAAGCTGTCCGTGTTCATGTGCCCCTGTGTGGGTTCGAGTGCCCGGGAGTGCAATTTGTAGCCGAAGCGAAAGTACTTCCTGTACCCTCACTTGGTGAGTCAGAGATTTGCTGATTACAAAACAATAACATTCAAGAAACCCCGGAGATTTGGCAGGAGGCAAGTTCTGCATCTCCAACGTGCTAAGCCCTCACCTCTGTAAATGATCTCATCCAGCCCCATCAATCCTAGATTGGGGGAGCAGAGAGAGAGGGGTGGCCCACTAGACAGATGTGGAAATGGAGGCTCAGAGAGCGGGAAGCACTTGCCCAAACTGGGGGACTCTGAGACCTCCACCCACCTCCAAGGGGCCAAAGAGCTGTCGCCACCCCCCTGGTTGCCACTGTGGGTTGAGCCGTGAGGGGATGTCAGGCGCAGGAGGGTCAGAAAGATTCCAACAGTGAGAGGTGGGGGGTGGCAGGGCAGCTGGGAAGCTCCAAGGGCCCTCTCTGCTCAGGAGCGATCGATAGTATTAATGTTGCTGTCTGTTCTCTGCGTTACCGATCCATCAGCATCCTGGCTAAGTGCCACCTTTGACCTAAGACAGGAGGGATTCTCCCATCTAGAAGGCTAAAGGATGCTCACCTGCCTCCAGCCCGTCTCTGATCACTTCGGGCAGGGGAGGGAGCAGATGCTGTGTGAGGGCCCGTGGGCCCACCAGGCTGAGCCAGCAGGCGTCTGGTGGCCTGTGCTCAGCGGAACCCCGGCATCTCTCGACCAGGGACAAGCGGAGGAGAATTCCTCGGCAAGTTCTGGGCCGGGGAGCCTAGAAAGAACACGCTGGCTTCTAGTCATTCAAATAACTGATTTGAATAGAGAAGAAACTGAGATGGAGAGATTAGAGATGGAATAGGTCGAGGAGATAGGAATGAGAGAGAGACCGTCTGAGCTACCTGACATTTACGGGGTCACCTCGGGGCCATTCAAATGGACTATTTGAATCTCATTTGACTAGCGGGGTGGAGGGAGACAGTGTTATCAGGACATCGCCCCGCACTGATTCCAATTTCTGATCCCAAAGCAAGTTAGCGCAGAGCCGCTGTCCGAAGTAATGACGGACATTTGCACCGCGCAGACCTTATGGAACCCTTGCAAATTGCCAGCAAGGCCCGAGGCAAGAAGGAGATCCATGATTCATGAGGGGAAACTGAGGCTGAAAACCAAGGGCCACCGGAAGCAGATCTGAAAAACCCAGCTTTCGGGAGCAGGAGTCTGCAGACAAATTCCCCCAGGGAGTCTTAGACCCAGACACTTTCCTCCTCCTCCCAGCCCCCTTCCTGCCAAAATGCTCAGGGTTCGAGCCCAGAGCCACATGGACTCTGGTTTTTCAGGAGGACAGAGGCCTGTGTGGAGGAGAAAACAGATGGTTTAGCTCTCTTGTATAAGCAAATTTTTTAAAATCTAATTGTTTCAGTGTTTGATATTTGCCAGGCCCGTGGTGCAGGGTCCGAGGCGGGCACCCCTATGCAGGGCCAGGGGCATGCTGATTCCTTTTTTTGGCATCGGGCTGCGCACAGCTATGGCTGCTTCTCCAACCCCTCACTCGGGTGCCCTGAGAGTGAAAGCATTCCTGCTTTGGAGCTAAACAGCCCTGGATTCTGATGCTGCCTCAGGTACTGACTGCTGTGTGTCCGTGGGCACGTCACTGCACCTCTCTGAGCCTCAGCTCAGGTCATCATCTGTAAAGAACATATGAAGGACTGTTGTGAAAGGGGGGGATGCACAGAACAATATCCACAGGACCCTTAGCTCAGGGCCTGGCACGGGTGAGCAATGAGCAGCGGTATTTGTCATCTCTGTGGCCCTTTTGGGAGGTGGTTCTGCTGCCAGCACAGAGCAGAGGCGGCCAGATGGGAGCCTGCATGAAGATGCCCTGGCCCACGGGCCAAAACAACAGGCCTTCAGACACAGAGGCCTGGGCAGGCCCTACAGGAACCTAGAGCCACACATGGGGTGGGCCAGTTCTGCAGGTGAAGGTCCGAAGGGGTCCATAAGCAATTCCAGGAAACCCCCTGGGCTCTGAGTGGTCCTGTGGCTTGGAAAATGCTTTCTCTGATCACTCCAGCATGACGCACCCCCAGCCACCACCACTCCCTGGTCCTGCTGCTCCCCAAACTGCACTGACTTCTCTCTGCCTAGAGGGCTGGATTGTGTCACATTTAATTCCCATGGCACAAGGATGAGTGCAGGGACCGGACCTGCTTGGTCCCTGGGAGAGGGGGGCTGCAGAGTCGGCAGGATCCTCACTCATTCAGTGCCCCTCTGCTTCCCTCCTCTCTCACAGCCCAGCCCTGGCTCCAGCTCCTAGGGCAGGCAGACTGGTCTCAGCTGGTCAGCCTTCTCCCCAGGGTCCCCCACTGCCTTTTGTGTTACTGAAGGTCACTACCTGCTCAGCCCAGTCTTGCAGCCAGCCGGGTTTCCAAGGCTCCTGCTGCCCCCTAGAGGCCAGTCCCTGCAGCTTTTGCCGCTGAGCACTGTCCAAGCTTGGAAGAGGCTGAGAAGTCTCTGTGGGACAGACAGCCCCAGGGGTGAGGAAGGTCAGGAGGCCATGAATCAGCCCGGACAGGTGGCAACAGGGTGCCAGTGAAAGGATCCACACATTGGCGTGGCTCTGCTCCTCGCCTTGACTTTCCTGTCTGTAAAATGGGTCTTTGAGAGAACTGGAGGATCACTTGACCTATGAGGTACAATTACTACAATGCTATGGCTCAGTTTTATTGAGCCAGGCACTGCGCTTTACATACGTTATTTCATGATAGCTTCTCTAAAGACAGATTTCTGGAGGAGGAGCCATTAGTAACTCTATTTTACAAATGAGGAAACTGAGGCACAGAGAGCGTTGGTGATTTGCCCAGTTACACATGGTGGAAGGTAGAGCCAGGCACCTAGCCCAGACTTATGTGATGCCACAACACCCCGCCTCCCAGTCTCATCTCTGCCATCTCTCTCCCATCTCTCCCCCCACCCTTTTCTTCCATCCTGTCTTTATTCTGCTGGCCTCTGTATGTTGCACAGACTATGGAGGGTCCTCCCCAGCCCAGCTCTATCTTTCTTTGTTCTCTTTTACCGTGAGTTGGTTGGCTTTTCAGCTCTCCAGGTCCACTGCCCCGCACATTGTCCTGGCACGGAGGAGGCACGCCACTCCCAGGCTGTCAAGTGGGAGCGGTGACCCCTGGAGGGCTGCTCTGGAGCTGGAGCTGGAGCTGGAGCTGGCCAGGGCTTGAGTCACATCCCTGCCTCTGGATGAGGCAGAAATTAATATTTCAAGTTCATGACCAAGGGAAACTCTTAGAGCATCATCCCACCCAGTAGTAAAAATGGTAACTCTCAACTATTAAGCACCTACTGTCTTCCAGACATCATGTAATGTCTTCTCTCACCAAATCATCTGAAGCAACACTGAGGTAGGTTGCACTGACCCTACCATTTTACAGGTGATAAATCAAGTCATAGAAGCCTCGCTCAGGTTCACAGACCTATTAGATGGAAGAATCCCTGCCTCCCTCCTTTGCAAACCCCCGTGCTGACCACTCTACTCTCTAGCCTCATGGGTCATCTGATCCAACCTGCCCACCTAGGGAAGCCTGTGTCCTGTTGGGTGAGCAATCACCATGTGTAGGCTGAGTGGTCCTGTGTGCACCAATCCAGGCCTCCCAGTATGGCCGGGGGTCCTCCTAGGTCTTACCTTAACCCCCACATCTCCTCAGCCACCTAAGGCCCTGGGAGACATCGCAGGGAGGAGGCCCACTCTGGCAGGGCCCTCGAGGCATTCAAGAGATCCAGGTGCAACATGCCCGGATACTTGCCTGCTGGCCTCCGTATGCTGCACAGACTATGGAGGGTCCTCCCCAGCCCAGCTCTGACTTCCCAGCTCTGCCCCTTCCCAGCACGATGGCCTTCCTGAACACTGGTCCCTGCGCTTGTGTCATGGGGATAGTGAAGGCAATGACCTCTGAGGGAGGATTCAATAAGCTAAGATCATCACGTGCTTGCCCAGCAGACCCCCTGGCAGGTGATGGGCACCCAATCACTGCCAGTGGCCTGGTCATCCCACACCAATCCGCAGTGCAGATAGAATAGAATGGAAACATAATTTGCCATTGATCGACACCGATAAAATAATAGCTAGCCAAGACTTTTCAACACAGAACGTGTTTGGAGCCAAATGATAAACGGTGTCTTTGATTGTAAAATGAAAATCGCTGCTCTGAAGTGCTTGGGTCTTAATGCCGAAGGGAGGGTGTGGGGCACCGCGGCTGTTTTGAACGTTGCCCTGGAGACTGCTAGAGGTCACGGGCTGTGGGAGGAATTCCCCACGCCACGAGACACACAAGGTGGCTGAGGCTGAAGAGCCTCCGTGAGGTTCTCTGAAACGGGTTCGTTTCTCCTTGGTGTTCATGCAAAACTAGATTTTCTTCTCGGCAAGACCACGGCGGGAGGCTGAGAGGAAGTCCAGGTGGTTTTGAGGGAAAACGCAGAGGCTGGTCGGGGCGAGGTCCCTGGCTTGGAGACTGAAGGGGTGCGTTTAGAGCCCAGCTGTGCCACATCTGTGAGCGCTGGGCTCCCAAACAGCAGGCCTGGCGCGCCGGAGCCGGGATGGTGACCGTGACCGCGGTGAGGCACGCTGGGGATGGCCTGTCTGCAGAGCGCCATGCTCAGCCCTGTGTGCAGGCTTCGTTTCATCACCGGGGCGACCGGTGAGCTGGGTCCCGTTCACAGGCCAGGACACTGAGGCCTCCGGTGGAAGGGGACAGGGTGATCTTTCATAAACATTACCTCACCTGCTCGGGGGAGATAAGGTGTTTGCTAAACTTTGTTGGAAGAGCAGGCCCTTCCTCATGACCTCCGCCCAGCCGGCTACCTGCTCAGACCGGCTGCGGGGGCCTCCAGCTGGGCTTGCCCAAAATACAGCACCCGGCGAATGGCGCTGCGTCTATTTAGTGTAAATAGAGGCTGAGGCTCTCGGGGTGGAGGACAAAGAGGTCGCAGCTGGGAGAGGGACGTGGGGCCAGTGTCTGTGACACCTTTCCAGTTTGGGGTTCAGTCCCCTGAGGTGCTCTCTGGGTTTGGGGTTGGCATCGGGGTCTCCGTGTAGCCCAGCTCCGTAGGGAGGCATTCACATAGACCACCAGGGGAAGGGTGCCCCCTGACTGTGCTGTGGGCAGCCTGGCACGGGCACCAGGAAGTTGCTACCATTCCTCACAAGATCCGGAGCAACCAAGTTGTCCACCAGCCTCCCTCCCCCCACCATTTACCCTCATCTCCAAAACAGCAGGGTCCCTGGCTGTCCAAAGCTGGTCCGGGGCAGTGAACTTGAACCTTTCTCTGTCAGAGCAAGCCCTCCCTCCATTTCCCACACCACAGCAGGGGCACAAGAGACCCCTCGCCAGGGACCAGAAACACGGCAAATACACAGATTAGGGCCCAACAAGCATGTCCTTGCTAATCCTCAGGGTCTCCTAGACATGGGGAGTGGACCGGGCAAGTCATGTTTTCTTTCTTGATTCGGGTTCCTGGTTCATAAAGAAAATAATAACATAAGATGAGGAAGTAGTAACACAGCTTTGCAAAAAAAATAAAATAAAAAAGTGATAAATATGATTGAACCATTTACATTTAACAGATGAACGCTTTCCGTCCAGTAACTAGTGTAGAACTCCTGTAGCGATTGCATCCAAAGTCTGAATTGGGGGGTCTTCATGAATATTAGGCCGAGGCCACTTTTCTCTCCTGCTCTAATCCGAAGTGAAGGACCTAACTCAGTAAGTAGTGAGATCCCCATCACTGGAGGCATGCAAGCAGAATGAATGTCTGAGGCTGTCTAGGTAACATGAATTGCAGGACCTTCCTGGCACCAAAGGCATATTTGGTTCCAAGTCTGAGGGGAGTGGTGCTTCTCGCTGGCCTGGCTCGGTGGTGAGCAGAGAAAGAGTCTGGGAGGCACTCCAGCTGGGCAGTGTCTCTGGGACAGGATGGGGTTGGTAGAAAGAATTAAAAACCCAAATTGAGGTTCAAAGAGTGCACTTCGCATTGGCCAGTGGGCCAAGTGCTTTGCTTCTGTGAGCCTCAGTTTCCCCATCTGCAGCACCGGAGCGGTGATTTCTGACTCGTGGGGCTTTGATGCAAACTGTGGCCCAACTCCATTCCAGGCACCAGTTGACATTCATGAAGGAGGTGTGAGAAGTAGGAGGCATGCTCTGGACAACTGGGGGCTCAGGTGCCTAGACTTCCCTTCCCCACTCCTGAGGATGATTCCCAAGGACTCCTGAGCTAGGACAACTGACAGGCCAAGTAAAAAGACAGATACTCGGCAGCGTTCTCTCTTGCTGTTTTCCTCCACCTTCACAACTCTGAAATCTGCACCCACAGCTCCATCCTCTCAGAGCCCAAAGTGCCTGGCCTCCTCTGGCTGAGTTAGAGTCACAGACTTGGGATCTGGGGACAAGCTTGGCCGAGAGACTTCCCTTGGGGCCTATGTAGAACTTCTGGGCATGTGTTGTCTGTAAATCTAATTCTGACCAGCAGATTAAGCACATAAGCAGCTTTATTATAATCTTTACCATTTGTGCAGCTCTTAATAATTGCCACTTACTTACTGTGTGACCTTGAGCAAGTTACTCCACCTCTCTGAGCTTTAGGCTCCTTCTCCTTAAATCAGAGGACATAATGGTATCTATCCATAGGGTGACTGTGACAATAACTTTGGAGCTCGTGTAAGAAGCAGGACACTGCTGGCTACAAAGCGAGTCCTCCATATACAATTAGTGTTGTGCATCAGGCTCCATGTTCGAAGTGCATTGGGTAAATACATTCCTGTGAGAAAACAGTCTTCTATTATAATTCATGGCAGATGGAGAGACTGCGAGTGGGGTAAATACTGCCCTAGACACTTGGCTGGTCATTGGCTCATCCAGAGTTCAACCTCTGATCACCTCACTCCATAACCCACGCTCCCAGTCTTCACATGCTTACGGTGTGGGAGCGGGTAACTCTCCCGCCTAAAGAGAAACAACTACTACCAAAACGGCCAATAACTGCAAAGGTAAATGCCTCGTGTGCCCTCCAGCAGAGGGTAATGCAAGCAGAGGCATTGCCCCTGACGTGCCTGCCAGGAAACTCCCTGAGGAGAGCCCTGCATGTGTTGGGAGAGAGAAGTCCTTGTTTGGGAAACAGCTGCCCTTGACCCTGATTCCCCAGCTGGGGACACGGTTTCCGGAGAGCACACTTGTCCTTGTCTAACCCAAAAGTTAGGAGCACCGTCTGGGCCTCCTCCCCAGGGGACCCCGTTCTCATCACCACGTGGGCCCCTCTGCCTGGTGCACTCGAGCTTTGCCTCTCGGGGTCCCATGTTTCCCAAGCCTCTTTCTGGTGAGTTCCTTGTCCTGATGGTTGGGCAGTTGAGGTTCTTCCCTCACCGCGCTCACCGGCCTTGGCTATCTGAAACCTCGGTGATGCCAGAAGTCCCCTCCCTATCGCCCCTGGCACCGGGCCCATCCGTGCCTGGCTTCCTAATTCTATTTCTGGAGCTTAATTATGATTACACAGCTTCATTACGTAGAGCTGATTTGAAGTAATGGCCCCAATTAAAGTGAATTTTAATTAAGCTTAATTCAGAACCTGCCTTCCCTTGCCAAAGACTTGCAGCCTAAGAAGGGGGAAGCCGCTTAGAGCACAAAACTCTGACCTTCATGCTGCTGGGCCATCCCGGCCAGATGCATCGGCCCGACGTTCTTGGCCCCAGGATTCTATTTCCTCACCAGGTTGCAAGGGTGCGAACCCCATCTCACCTTCCCTCCCACCCCGCGTCAGACTCCGAGCCTGGCAGTGAGAACACAGCCCAGCTAACCTGGGAGGACGGGGCCTGCTCTTCCCAGGCTCAGCCCAGGGATCGGCTCTGCATGGTCTTACCGTTGGCGTGACTATCAGGCACAGGGCCCACCCTGTCGTAAAAAACAAAACGCATTTCCCTCCCACTGCTCAGAATACCCACTTTGCAAATGGGAAAACTCAAGGAGGCACAGCTCGTGAGGGCAGAGAGCAGACTGAAAAATCGCATCTGCGAGTCTCGGAGAAACCCACCTCCTTTCACCTCCCGGCGGGCCCCTGAGATGAGCGCCTCCCAAATGCGAGGGCCCATGTGACGTGCAGGTAGGTTCTGACACCCTCAGACACGGCCATGTTCTTAACAGTGAACAAAATCTCCAACCCATCTGTCTTACAATGGAACTCCACAATGGATCTCCCTTCAAGGCTGCCAGCAATCAAAGGACATCGTCCAAACAAACCAGTGAATAAAAGAAAAGCCATGTTATTCAATCCAAACCAGAAGCCAGAAGCTTCTAAAGGCCTGCAGTCAGACCCCGGCCTGCCTTTATTTTTAAAAGAATAGATAAGAATAATGCTAAAGATCAAGCATCATACAGAGACTGTGTCCTTGATATATTGTAATCAGGATTGAGAGACAGTTGGAAAGATGACCACAAATCACTATGTGACTCAACGTTATCCAAATACCACCTGAAGTCAACTTTCCTTTGTCCAACCTTTTCAGAGCCCCTGATCCAAGCTGATGTAGCACATGGTTTGCCTCTGACCAGTAAGTACTGCCCCGAGCCATGCCATGGATGACAAAAACCTGGCCAGAATGCTAGCTCTCCTCGTCCCCCAGCGCTGCTACAGGGACAGGGTGTGGACATTCCTTTGGTGTTTCCAGTGAAAACAGAGAAATCCGTCTGCTCTTCGAGGCTGCCTGGGGTGGCCAGTCCTACAGGCCTCACAGCCTGTCCTGAATGTCACGGCCACACCGGCCTCTCTTAATGCTATTGAAGTTCCCACCTAAGAAAACCCCCCACTGAGAAGCTAAACTCTGTAAACATTTTTATTTTTCTAGAGGGAAATGGAAAGTGAAAAATGGGATTCAATTACCGTTAACATACAAGGGCAATTTCACTCACAAGTGCCATACTTAAAAGCTTGAGTTGAAAACCGGCGTTCGAATGAGGCCCAAGCTAAGTTAAAAAGAGAATCATTTATTAATTCCACCCTTTCTGACTGAGTGAATCTTCCTTAGACACACACACACACACACAAAAAAAAAAAAATAAAAAAATAAAAAAGATAAATGGGCTTTAAATACAACTAAATAAGCACTTACGACTTTAGTAATCCAAACCATAGAACTTTTCCATTAAAAATGAAACACACCATTTCATGGTGGCCTGAGACTTGATTTGGGTTGATGAACACACAATGCAGTGTACAGACGATGTATTGTGGAATTGTGCACCCGAAACCTACACAATTTTGTTAGCCAGTGTCACCCCAATAAACTCAGTAAAAAGGAAAACACAGGTTGGATTTTTAGGAGACCCTGTTCCTTAACCTAGTCAGTCTAGTAACTCAGGTGTCCTCGAATTTTTTTTTAATTGATTTTTAGAGAAAGAGAAAAGGGAAGAGGGTGAGTGAGAGAGACACATTCACCTGTTGCTCCATGTACGTCCATTGGTTGCTCCTCGTATGTGCCCTGACGGGGGATCCAACCCGCATCTTAGCGTACCAGGAAGATGCTCTAACGCACTGAGCTTCCCGGCCCCTCCCAATGGAGCAGAAGCAGGGACTCTGCGCTTTTCCAAGGGATTTGGGGTGAAATTAACAGAGCCGACCGCTCATAGACATACCTGCTCACAACTGCTCCTAGGAAACATCTACACTGGGAAACGCCTCTAGACAGGGAGGAAAGGAGACAGCCTCAGCTAAAATAGAAAGACAAAGACATTGTGGACATTTACATATGCTGGACACCTCAGCAGATAGAATGACCCCCATTAAAGCTGCTCATTCATTCTTCCTTGAATTTTTATTCATGACATTGGAGTGATCTCGTAAGCATCGCCAATGGCTTCTCCCAGCAAGTAACTCCCACAAATAACTCCCAGGTTTCCCAGGGGTTGGGTTTCTACTCTGCAAGTTACCAGCTGTGGGACCTTGGGCCTCAGTTTCCCCATCTGTAACAGCGGCACCTACCTCCTAGGACTGCTGTGAGGATTAAATGAGAGAGTGCTTCGTGCAAAGCGTAGCCCAAAGCCAGCGCTCCACGACGGCTGGTAAATACTAACCCTGGCTGAGGTTGTGTCCCCATTTAGCTCAGAAACTCACTGACTTGCCCATAAGGAGAAGACACTTTCACAAAATGTCCAGAAGACCCCAGGTGGAGAGAGGCCGCTCCTCTACGCGTCTCTAGATGCATCTCGGCCTCAGTCTCGGTTCAGCTTTCTGCCCAGCACACGGCCAAGAGCTCCAGGCAGAGCTCAAGCAGGGAGACCCTTCCCTCGGGACCTGCTGGCAGGATGGGCATGAGTAGCGCATGGAGGAGGCGTGTGCTCAGAGCGGTTCCTCCTTGGAAATCCAGTTTGGGATCCATAGGAAATCCTTCCAGGCTTCCTGTGCACACGCCAAACGGGCACACACGGGAGCATCCTCCTACCTGTGCATCTTGGCAAAAGCCAGCGCCCGCGGGTGACACCGTGTGCGGGGAGCTGGCCATGGAGAGACGCACAGCTTCTCCTGAGTGAGGCTTCATTCGCTCCAGCCTGGGGCTTTATACCAAGCAATGACACCCGCAAAAGAGAGACATGCAAATGGATCGTGGGATATAATATTATCATTGTCAACATGGAAGCCGTGTATTTACTGCCCCCCAAAAGAAAATACGGCACCGTCATTTGTTTCGGGGAACGCAAAAGAGGTTTCAACAACTAACAGGGCATGTTTCTGAGCAAAATACGTCCCTTCCATGATGCCCGGACACAGACTGTCGGAGGCCACCGGTGGGTCTGTGTTCTCGCAAACAAACGCGAGGCGGAGAGGGAGGAAGGTCACTTCCAGCCGCCGCCCTCTGCCACAGGCCACCTCCTCTGTCCACAGACTGACCAGACGGCAGAGATGCGTTTGTGGGGACAGGCCCCTGAGGCCCTCCCGGAACCAGCACCTCTCAGGACCAGGAGTCTTGGGTGTGGCCGATGCTCTTCCTGAAGGCAGATGCGGGCGAGGCTGAGTAGGTGGCCGAAGCACTCTGCAAGTTACCAGCTGTGGGGCCTTGGGCCTCAGTTTCCCCATCTGTACCATGGGGATAACAGCAGCACCCACCTCTGGGCAAAGGGAGGCTGCGAAGGGGAAGGACAGCGGAGGGAATCGGGAGCAGCGGCATCCACATCTCTCTGTCACTGCAGCATTGGCCCAGCGTGGCCACGTGGTAAAGGTTACTCCTCAGCCCTTTGGTTTTAACGGGATCCTCGCAGTGGGCGATGCTGATTATTTTCACGAAGTTGGTTGAGTAATAAACCTGTGATTTTATTTAGGGGTTTGGTCACCGTGATAGTTTCATTTCTGTCTGAGAAGTTCCTAAATTTATGAGGCTTTACACCAGGGGTTGGGGAATGTCCGGCCCGCAGACCCTATAAGGCTCTCGGAATCATTTGGTCTGGCCCTGCCATGGCATTAGGGGTGAGTTAATTAAATGTTTGACCAAATAGAGCAGTGCCTCTCTGTCCCTCCCCAGCCCATGGCACGGCACGGTCGCCTGGTCCTGATTGGCAGGCACACACAGGCGGTCCAGAGGGGATCTGTGATGGATGGACAGGCTGGGACTGAGTTAGGAGGACCATGACGGTGGGCCCCTGGGAGCGGGGATGAAATGTCCTCTTCTAAAAAGACCAGGAGGGCTCTGCTCGGGGCAGTCACCACATCAGTGTCCCTGAAGGTCCCAGAGGCCAGACTCCAGTTTCAATCACAAGTGAATCACCGTCACTCTGCAAGCGCCACCACCCCACGCCCCAACCCCCACCACAGCCACCACACCCACCACACCCACGATGACAGTTTGTTTGACCAACACAGAGAAGGTTTTTTTTCCAAAATACTTCTTGGCAGGAAACCTTCAGGAGAGGGGCAGGCCTCAAGTTGCTCCTTCAAACAGGGGTCATCAAACATGACAGAGGAGGTGGCCTGTGGCAGAGGGCGGCGGCTGGAAGTGACCTTCCTCCCTCTCCACCTCGCGTTTGTTTGCGAGAACACAGACCCACCGGTGGCCTCAGACAGATGACTGCTGTTTCAGAACTCCCACAGGGCTTTGTCCCTGGAGAATTTCCACAAAGTCTGTGCCTGCCTTTGGAAAATTCTGCACCAAAGGAGAGCTGATAGGAGAAGTGGAGGCAGGAGGCTCTATTGCTGATAGAGCTAGTGGGAGAAAGGGAACTGGCGTTAACAAAACCCCTCTACACACAGCGTTTAACTGGATGCCCCACCTGCATTGTCTCCTTCAATCCCAGGAGGAAGGTCTTAAAAGCCCCACTTATAGCCCAGGACATTGGGTCTCTGAGAGGCAAAGAAACTTCCTTACGGTCACACAGCAAGGAAGTGGCAGAGCCAAAAATAATATTATACTAGAGACCCGATGCATGAAATTTATGCAGGGGCAAGGGGGTCCCTCAGTCAGGCCTGCATCCTCTCCAATCTGGGATCCCTCTCACAATCCAGAACCACTGGCTCCTAATCACCTGCCTGCCTTCCTGATGCCCCTAACTGCTCCCCTGCTGGTCTGATGGCCCTAACTGATCTCCCTGTCAGCCTGATCCTCCTAACTGCTCTCCCTTCCTGGCCCATTTCCCCTAACTGCCTATCTGCACTTCCTCCTAGGCTGAGCCCCCTAACTGCCTATCTTCTTGCCCTTCCTCTCTGTGCCCTTTGGACCCCTGGCACAGGTGTGCTGAGAGCTCTCCACTGTGGCCCTGCCTCCGTCCTGATTGGTTATGTGATGGCATCCAGGCCAATTTTCATATTCCTCTATTATTAGTATAGATTAATCACTGACACGTCAGTAATTATATTAAGCACATGTATTGGTCATTTACTGGTCTCCCTGTTCGATGCCTTAGGGTCGCATATGACTTCATTGAATTCTCACCATATATTGATACCATTCCCATCTAGCAGATGAGAATACTGAGACTCAGGGAAGAGAAGTAGCTTGTCCCGGGCACTCAGCTCCTAAGTGATAAGGCCAGGATTCAAACCCAGATCTACCAGATGCCCTCTTCTTCATTTTGTTTTTCCAGAAAGAGAGGCTGATGCCAACAGAGGAAAAGATGGAGATGCTCCATCTTAAAAGAGGCTAAGGAGGCAGGACAAGGAAATGCCAGGCCTGATGCTGGAACTGTGCTGAATGGGAAAGTGCTGGGCGGGGCCTTGCATGGCCACCTGGCAGTGCTGGAATGTGGATGGTAGATTAGATAAAAGTGTTGTGTCATCTTAAATTTATGATTATGATTGTGTAAGAGAATATCTCCATCTTTGGAAAATATATAGTCAAGTACTTAGAGGAAAAAGACCACGATATATGGAACATCTCCCTGTGTTTCGGGGGGGGGGAAATGTGTGTGTGTGTGTGTGTGTGTGTGTGTGTGTGTGTGTGTCGGGGAGGGGGGTGGTGAGAGAAAGAGAGAGAGAGAAAGGCAAATGAGGCAAGATAGTGACAATATATGAGTCTAATGAGTAGACTAATTTTTAGGTAAGTTTAAAATCGTTTCTGAATAAAAAGGTAAAAGAGAGGGGAAGAGAGAAAGAGACTGCCAGATGTCATTTAATGACCTATCCTTCCCGAGTCCCCTCCAAGGATAGTTCCACCCTTTACTGTGTCCTAATTCTTTCCTCTGCAATTGCACCATTACTAACTCCTTCCTGCAGCTTTATGTCCAGTTTGCAAGTGCCTCTACCTTTGAGAGTGATTTGTCACTCAGATCTTCAGGAGACTGAGCGTGAAATGTTAATCATTTTATTGAGTGTTCCATGCCAGGCATGGTGGTAAGCACTTTCTCTGCAGTGCCTCAGTTCATCAACCTAGTAATCCTAAATGTCATAAAAGCAAGGTACTCTTTCTATTCTCATAGAGACCAAGAAACCTGGGCACAGAGCGTGTCCTAACTGGCCCAGTCCCTCAGCAAATAAGGAACAAAGCCCGGGTTTGAACTGACCAGTATTTGAGTCTGAAGCCCAAACTCTTCACATCTATAAAGATGCAGTATTTTGTTTAAAAAAATATATATTTTTAATTGATATTTTACAGAGAGGAAGGGAGAGGGATAGAGAGTTAGAAACATCAATAAGAGAGAAACATCGATCAGCTGCCTCCTGTGCACCCCCTACTGGGCATGTGCTCGCAACCAAGGTACATGCCCTTGAGTGGAATTGAACCTGGGACCCTTCAGTCTGCAGGTCGACACTCTATCCACTGAGCCAAACCAACTAGGGCTAATATGTATCTTTTTTATTATTGATAGTATTACAGATGTCTCCCATTTATCCCCCTCCTTCCAGGCTTACCCACCCTCCCAGGTCTTCACCACCCTATTGCCCCTGTCCATGGGCTATGCATATCTACAATAATAAAAGTGTAATATGCTAATTAGACTGGAAGACCTACCGGACGAAGACAGCAGGTAGGGGTGGAGGCAGAGGCAGCCATGGGGGTGGGGAGGGGCCATAGCAGTGGAGACCAAGCCCCTTGCACGAATTTCATGCATTGGGCCTCTAGTAAGTATATAAGATCTTTGGCTTACCTCTTCTCATCCCCCATCCCCATCGAGGTATGTCTGTCTGTTTCATGCCTTCATGCATTGGGCCTCTAGTAAGTATATAAGATCATGCTTCAAGGCTTATTTTGTTGGTCAATTCATTTTGTTCATGAAATTCCACAAATAAGTGAGATCATGTGATGTTTGTCTTTCTCAGTTTGGCTTATGGCACTTAGCCTCATATTTTCCAGGTCCATGCATGCTGTAGCAAAGGGTAAGAGATCCCTCTTTTTTTTTTTTTTTTTTTTTTTTTTACAGCTGCATAGTATTCCATGGTGTAAATGTCCCATAGCTTTTTTATCCATTCTTCCACTGACCGGCACTTGGACTGTTTCTAAATCTAAGCTATTGTAAATAATGCTGCTGTGAACATAGGGGTGCATATATTATTTCTGATTGGTGTTTTGGGGGTTTTAGGATCTATTCCCAGAAATGGGATCACTGGGTCAAAAGTAAGTTCCATTTATTATTTCTTGAAGAAACTCCATCCTGTTTTCCATAGCGGCTGCACCAATCTGGATTCCCACCAGCAGCGTACGAGGGTTCCCTTTTTTCCACATCCTTGCCAGCACTTGTGGTTGGTTGATTTTTTTTTTTTTTTTTTTTTTATGATAGCCATCTGACAGGTGTGAGGTGATATCTCACTGTGGTTTTAATTTGCATCTCTCTGGCGATGACTGACTTTGAGCTTTTTTTTTTTCATATGTATCTTGGCCATCTGTATGTCCTCTTTAGAGAAATGTCTCTCCAGGCCTTCTGCCCAGTTTTTAATTGGATTTTTTGTCTTCCTTGTGTTCAGTTATGTGAGTGCTTCATATATTTTGGATATTAACTCCCCACCAGATGTATCATTGGCAAATACGTTCTGCCAGCTCCCTTTTCATTTTGATGGTGGTTTCTTTTGCTGAGCAGAAGCTTTGTATTTTGATGGAGTCCCGCTTGCTTATTTTCTCTTTAGTTTCCTTTGCCCTAGGAGATGTATTGGCAAAAATCCTGCTGCGTGAGATGTCGGAGATGTTGCTGCCTATGTTTTTCTGCTAAGATTTTTATGATTCCGTGCCTTACATTTTAGTCTTTTGCCCATTTGGAGTTTACTCTTGTGTGTGGTGTAAGTTGGTGGTCCAGTTTCATGTTTTTGCACGCGCCTGTCCAATTTCCCCACCACCATTTGCTGAAGAGACTGTCTTACCCCATTGTACATGCTTGCTTCTTTGTCAAATACTAATTGTCTGTGATGGCGCGGTATTTTAAATAAGTAAACTGTTTTCTCTCCCAGGAAAAGAAGGCACTAACGGCCCATGAACATACCAGCTTGCATTCTCCCCAAGAGGCACGCCCGACTTCCTTGTCTCCACTCAGTGACCCAGGCACCACTCTCGTGTGCCGGGACAGTAAGCACTCACTCTAGAAGCATCGTTCCGAAGGCATCGTGAATGATGCCCTGCCTTGGGACCCCAGCTGGCTTCTGAGCACCCTGAGGAATTTAGAAATCACTGTCCTCACTATCACTGGGCATTCTGGCTTCTCCAGGGCGGCCGCCTGTCAATGGCCAGCCCACTGCTGTTGTTGTTTTGTTTTTCTAAATTCTCGCCCAAGGATATTTTTCCATTGATTTTTTTAAACAAAGTAGAAGGGAGGGGGCAGGAGAGAGAGAGAGAGAGAGAGAGAGAGAAAGAGAGAGAGAGAGAGAGAGAGAGAGAGAGAGAGAGAGAGAGATCAATTTTTAGAGAGAGAGATCAATTTTTAGAGACTTATCGATTGGTTGCCTCCCACATGCATCCTGATAGAGGCTGGGGGATTGAGCCTGCAATGGAGGTACATGCCCTTGACCAGGAATCAAACTAGTGACTCTTCAATCTGAGGGCCAATGCTCTAACCATTGAGAAACCCGGCTAGGGCTAGACCTGGT